TGAGGTCAGCATCATAAAAACAAGAATTGGATCAAAGTTGTGGTTTATTGTGGTTATTTCGGATGATTTGTCAAGAGCCATATGTTTGGCGGGTACTGATGTTTTTGTAAATTAGTGTGGAAATGAAGAGACACGAAATCCATCAAACTTAAGAGACAAGAAGTGAAAAACATCCTCCGAATCCCCGCAACAGATGTTTCATTTAATCTTTTTTATTGTCCCGCAAATAAACTTTGACCATTTTGGGCTACTGCTGCAACCAAGACGTCAGCTACGAACATCTCTCACATACGAAGATCTTGTTCTGATTATTCTTATAACAGAATCCCTATGATGTCGGAGCATTACACAGAGTCAGCATGATAAACGTAGAGGTCAGAGAAACAGCTTGGGAGAAGAATTCCTGAACAATTAATGCACAATAATACCAGCAGCCAAATAAAACAACCCAAGAACAAGCAGTGGAAGGTAAACAAAGCAGCAGTAACAGCGCAGATGTTGATAAGGAGCAGGACACACAGGTGCACTCTCTCCAGATCTGGACCTCCTCTGCAGTAAGTGGGGTCGACCCTCTGCTCTATGTAACCCCAGTCACCTCGGTAACCCTTCATTTAGGAAATGCACCAATTCCCACCTGCAGGATGTGTGTCTATTTACAGGCTGAGACACAATGAAAAGTGAAACTTGTAGACGTCTTGTAGCTTCAGACGTAGAAATCATGGAGGCCAACAGCATTTCTTTGCACTTAATCATCACTCTGAGGACTCACTGATCTGATTTCATTGTTTATGCTCAACAAGTGTTTGGTATTTGGTGCTTGTTCTTCTCCGTTGTAAAATAAAATGTCTCTTTGAGCTTGCAAATCTCTTTTTAACACACTAAAAATGCAGTATTGGATTTCCCTAATATCATATGGTAACAGAAAAATGCTTAGCACAAACATTGTGAAGTGGGGTTGAGGAGATTTATTCATGTCCCTGCGGAGCGTCACATGTCTCCAACAATGAAATTATAGCAGCCTCTACTGGTAGACTGCAAACCTTACACCCAACCTACATGGCTTTGATACACTGAAACCATTTTTACCCTCTTTTGTGGCTCATTTTAAGGAGGTTAAATATGCATTTAAAAACAAAGTCCAGTCAGTTGATAAAACAGTTTTAACCCTATCACTGCTGATTCCTTAAAAAGAGCAGAGGCAGTTCAAAGAAAAATGTAAATGACATAAAACAAAATTCATTGAGTAGACTGCTGATGTCTGTGCTGTAATCCTCATACCACAGTGTTTTCATTCAATATAGAAGGAACAATTATACGTACAAAACAAACACAGATTTTACAGAATAGCTTTAAGAATGACAGACAATCAACAAACCAAATATTTAAAGTAAAAAAAAGTCCTCAAGTGTTTAAAGAAAGAATATCAAACATAATTTCTCATTTTTATCGTTTAGTCAGTGTGTGTTTGTGTGTGTGTGTGTGTGTGTGTGTGTGTGTGTGTGTGTGTGTGTGTGTGTGTGTGTGTGTGTGTGTGTGTGTGTGTGTGTGTGTGTGTGTGGGTGCTTGTCGTTATAGCCTTATGGGGACTAACTACTGATGAACAATCTTTCTTGTGGGGACATTTAGCAAACTCCTCAAAAATACTGTACTTTTATGATCTCCTTTGGGCCTGACAGCCTGATAATGCCTTTGTAGCTTGAAGCAGTAGTAGTAGTAGTGGAGGTCGTCGTTGTTTATTCAGTCATTCAGACAACACCAAATAATGTGTACACAATATTGATATTTCACACAAAATCACTAAATCAAGAATCATGTGTTGAATATTGACTGAAAATACAGTAGTAGCAGGTTATAAAAGCCTATCCTGTATTGTCAACTTTTTAGGCTACCGACCTTCAGAAAAGCAAAGAAACCACAACAACAGATACTTAATCACACTTATAGGCTTCAAAAATAGCTTCACAAACCATTTTCTTAAAAACCAAAAAAGAATGATGTGTTTTTAGATTTAGAAAGCCAATAATACTCATGTCATGGGCTCTGTGTGAACTTTATTTTTGTTTTCCTTTATTTTATTGTTGAATTTGGAAGAAAAGTTTTTTTTTTCTTGGGGATCCTAAAGAAATAAGTTGACCAAATGTACTGTTTTGTTTTGTGTTTTGTTTTTACTGTGCAGAAGCTGTGAAAACAAAACCTATGAAAGCAAGTTATGAGGAAATCTTTTGAAATTGTGACAGGAATACTGTTTCAACCAAGACATGTTGTGGGTAGGAGTTTCCTGCATGGTTTTCATAGCTAAGCTTAAACAACCATGATGAAGGGTTTTTTTTTGCACGATAGTGAGGAGATATTTTTCAGGATCTTTGTACGGTACTTTTTTTTTTTTACTGTAAAGTGTTTACAGTAAATTCCCCAGTAATTGTGAATTTCCCAGTTTGGGATCAAATAAGTTTATCTATCTATCTATCTATCTATCTATCTATCTATCTATCTATCTATCTATCTATCTATCTATCTATCTATTAAAGCATGCAAAGGGATAATTCTGTAATTGAATGTGACATATTACAATTAAATCGTGTAAAATTATATAATTGTCCGCAGAGCAGGCCAGACTGGAAAAATGTGGTTTCACCTGAGGATACTTAAACACATGATTTGCAGAAGTCCAATGTAATGAGTCTATTCATCCTTGTGGCTGAGCTGTTTTCACAGAGTAGTGTGTGACTGCGGACACTAAAAAACACTGACTGGATTTGAAAAGGCGTTCTGCGCTGATACCTAATGAGTCACTTCCTCCTTCCCTGACTGGCAACCAACAGCTGCAACTTCATGCGTGTGTGTATGTGCGCCAAGTTCTATTTATAAACAGCCCTCATTGGCGATCAGACATGAAATATCAGCACACATAAAACTACATTATGTAGATTCACATATAAACAGCTGCTAAGATGGCAGTAAACACCTTTGTTAGAGGGCAGCTTAGCAGTCCTTGGGTTTTGATGTTGGCAGTGTTAATGTTGGGGTGCACGGTGCGGCTTGCTCTTACAGTGAGTGAATTGTGATCTTAGCACCAACTGCATGCAAAATTAAACCTCTACTTGCGTAAGCAGGAGATGCACATCTCCTCCTTTAGGTATCACATTCAGGAGCTCCCTGCTTCCTTTCTTGCCTCAGATTGAGTGTCTCTTTGAATCTGTAACTCTCTGTTCAAGCTGTCCGGACTCATTTGTACTGACAAAAGCTGTCACACCGCACAGCTCTTTCCTTGATTCAGTGTGAATTGTGAGGTTTCTATGTTGTTGGTATTTATATTCACAGAAACATTCGTGGGAACTTTTTTTTCTTGTTTGTTTTTGTCTGTCCTGATTGTCTAAAGGCGTTATGCAAATGAGGCTGTAAGATTTGTGCAAGCTCATGAGGATAACTAAGGTATAATATCTGCTGCATTCCTTCTTGGTTTCCTTGTTGATGGCATTTGAGGGATTTTGAGTTGGTGTTGTGAGAACATTTTCATGTTCTGCATCGAACTTTATGAGTTTCTTTCTTTATATGTTTTTATTATATTTTGTATTGTCCGTACTGTTTACAGATGTTTGACTGGGGAAGAGAATAATAAGAATGCTAACAGGTACAAGAGGCTGAGCTTTCAATATCTGTACAGAAATGGAGTTAAAATGTTGTAATAGTGCCAACTGGACCAACTTGGCCCCTGAGATGCATAATGTCTTTAAGCACCATGTACAAAAAGTGACAAAAACAGCCTAAAACAACTTATTGTACGCTGGCTTTAATGTCTGTGGGCCTGTTTAGCTATCCCCGAGGCCTTCAGCTGGATGATGGCTCTGGTAGTTGGCATACCCTCTTCCCCTATCAAGCTCTTGGAAGTGGCTGATCTTGGGACCGTGGTTAGATTTTCCATGACGGTCTTTTTGTGCTCACTACCTTTGTCTTTACACCATGTGACACTGTACTCGATGTACTCTTGGTGGTTTTGGCAGTTGTTTAATAACCGAGCTTGGCATCCTAACTCCTCCTCCGCTTACTCATAACCTGACCTGTTTTTGAGCTACTTAGTTCTGGCTGATCATTTTCTGAGCTTCGGTCACTGTCGTTGTGATTGGCAGCTGTCATTCGGTATTGGGGATGCACTGCTGGTGGGTGTTAGTTTTTACACCGCCCATGCCATGACTTGAAATCCATGCCTCTCCAGAACATATTTGAGAACATACCCTTCAACAATGTTCATACAGCTTCATTAGTCTGACAACAGAGCCTGACGTTGAGTTCAGGGCAAGTCTCGTAGGTCTTGGAAAACCTGGTCGTGATTGTGCCAGTATCTGTGTTTTCCATGTTTGGTACAGGCATTCAAAACTGTAACAGTACATGTCTTTGTTAAAATATGGATTAAACAAGTATACACCTATGAGTGTTAGGAGTAAAGCCTATAAAGCCTATATGCTTATGGGTATCTACTTTTTTTTTAATACCGTGGACACATACTGAATGCACAATATCATATTCCATAACAGCATGCGTGTTTTTTAAAGTGTTCTTGCATGCTGTGTTTTTTTAAGATATCTTTTAATGCTTTAAAGTAGTAAGGGATTTTGTGTATTACTTGGAACATCTTTGATGCTCTTTTATACCTCCACACTTGCTAATTAGTCTTATCACCGGCTGCTCGACTGCCCTGTTTACCTTCAGTTACAAGCTCTGTGATGAAACATGATTCCTGAGGGGTGACTGGTGTCAGGGAAAGACGATCAGGTTGGTAGCCCGGGATGGCTCGAATACTTTCCACGGTCATGTTGGGGTTTACTCTCCTTAATTTAGATCTGCAAGCGCTAAGGCAGGACACAGCCGAGGGAGCAAAAACCACAGAGAACAAAGATTTGTGTTGGTAGAGGCTGAATATGTTGAAGCTAATCTGACAGCTGTTGAGGAAGATCACTCAGAGGGATTGATTGTGCCTACATTGAGACGTTAAACTCGTAATTATGTCTGGAAAGCAGTCGGGCCAAGGCTCCCAGAGGAAACCATCCACCAACAAGAACATCAAGAAGCTCCGCACTATTAGCGCGGTGTGCAGCCTGACAAGCAGCTGGCAGCAGTGGGTGACTGAGAATGAGAAAAAGCAGGCCAGTGAACCAAGTGGCTGGTGTCCATCTTCACTAGAAGAACTAACACCGGCACCCAGAAAGACATGGGTCCCGAAGAAGCCTCCCCAAACTCAGACCCAGCCAACAGAAACACCCCAGAACCACGTAATCGACTCTGGAGAGGCTCAAAAGATACTTGGTCCTGATGCGAAAATCCAGGAGGAACCCAAGACCGTAGAGTGCAAGGACTCAACCGATCAAGATGTTGCACCCCGCATCAAGGTTAAACAAGTGGTGAAAACTGTGACAAGTGGAGTTCAGGAGAAAGGTGCCGGCATTGGGCTCCTCACTGAGAAGATCAAGAAGGAGACTCTGCCCTCAGACGAGGAGATCGACCGGCTCCTGAAGAAGAAAAGCTCACCCACACGCCGCAGAAAATGCTCCAACATGGTGTCGTCCCTGACCAAAAGCTGGAAGCAGGTGGAGAAAGACCAGAAAACTGGAGGTCAAGGTGAAAATCTCCACCCTGAGGCAGAGGCGGAGGAGGCGGACCAAGTGGAAGCTGAAACACAGAGGACCAGCATTTTGAAAGAAGACGCAGAAGAAGAGTCTGAGTCCGCTGAGTCAGCTGTGAAGATAAAGAGACCCTCAGCTCCACTGTAAGTATGAAGTATTTGAATATTTATGTTTACAGGAGGAAAACCCTGTTTACTCAAAGGTTACTCACCGTACTAATATACTAATACAGTCCTAAAACCAGCTGTCAATGAGGTGGCGAGTGATGGGAAGAACAGTTCTTTTAACTGTACTGAATCTTTAGAATCCGTTTATTGAAATGATTCATTCAAAAGTTTCGTTCACTGAATCAGTCAGTGCTTCGGAGCCCTGTCCTGACGGTGCAGTTCATGATTGAGTGACACTGCCGCGAGTTTGTTCATTGAACAAGCCCCTCCCCTTCCCTGCTGCTAAAGTCACAGCATCGTTCACTGGGTGACACATGTCATTCATTCACCAAGTCCTGAAGGAAGAATAACTCCCCTTTCCCTGAAAAACTCACCTCTATATGTGTTGCCGTCGGCAGAAACAACACAGCAGTAAGCAGCACGCCTGCTAAACGAGCGCGAAAATGTAGAGAGATGAAAAATAAATAAACATCACAGTGATCAATAGCATATTGCTTTAAATCGGCTGAAATTAAATCCTTCTTGCAGGAAAGTGTATACACGTGTAATAATGTAAAGGCACTATAATGACCTGTTTTCTCTTAGCCTCAGTGAATGAACAGGTGCTCGGCAGTTCGTGAACGACGCTACACCCCTCCCTCCTCTGCCTGCCTCGAGTCATTTGGAAGACGTTCGTTCCGTTTACAGTCTGACTGATACATATCATTCATTCGCTGTGAGCAAATCACGAGACTCCGCCCGCCCGCTCGCTCGCTGACTGGTTGGCTCTGTGATGTTCGCCAAAGAGTCAAAGGCGGCAGTTCCACTCCCGACCGGCATGCCAGGCTCACGACTGAACTCAACTGAACTGAGAAAGGAACAAATCAGATCTCGGAGTGATTCCATTAACGTCGTTCACTCAGCAGTTCCGTTCTTTTGAATGAAACGTTTATGAACGACACAACACTAGAGGTGACCGTTTTAACAACAACAATTTGGTACCTTGCCCTGATTTAGATTTATTTACTATCTAGATTATTATGGTTACTCAAAAGCATAATTTTACTGAGGTCAGAAACCTGTTCAACATTCCCCCTTTTGGGCTGAAGCACCTCTACCTACACCCTGATTCCGCCCCAACACTTAAATCTCTTCTCTTTTAACAGCCTCCTGGTTTCTTTGTGTTTCTAAGTGTTGGAAAAAGGTCATCAGCTCTTTGAAGACAAAACAAAAAACTGACATTTACTAATTTTAGTTCATGTGTTAGCAGAGTATCATATGTTTCACTTGGTCCATGATACTTTCGGACCTTCTTTCACTCTCTCAGATTCAAAAAAGAAGCAGAGGACGCCAACAAGATCAATGCCCTTTCCAAGAAACACAGTGCTGTGGGAAACCTCAAGAGCCGCTGGCAGTCCTGGGCCTCAGAGCACACCATCAACCAGAAACTCAACCCCTTCAGTGAATACTTTGACTACGACTACTCTATGTCGCTGCGTCTCCAGAAGGGCCAAGAGGGATACGGACGCCCCAAAGAGGGAACCCAGACGGCAGAGAGAGCGAAACGAGCCGAGCAGCATATCCACCGCGAGATAGCCGACATGTGTTATGTGATCAGGACCATGGCGGATAGGGACCCAGATGGAAAGACCCGTGTCACGTTTGGACAGCTGTTTGACAGATATGTTCGGATCTCTGATAAGGTGGTGGGGATTCTGATGAGAGCGAGGAAACACGGGAAGGTGGCGTTTGAAGGAGAGATGCTTTGGCAGGGCCAGGATGACGGTGTGATCATCACTCTGCTGGTATGATGTTAACACCTGGGTCAAAGGTGCACTGGAAATCCTCTTGGAGCTACTTAAGGACTTGAGATATAACCTCAGTCATTATGAAGCCAGTCTGCGGCGGGGATTTACAATTCAGTTTGACCCGGGGTCTTTTCAGAGGATCAGTCCAGAACAATTTCAAAGGGATAAGGACACAGAAAAGACTGCCGAATGAGCCGAGTTTAAGGATGTAGAGAATACTGTTACAAACCCTGAAAAAGAGGGTCTGCATTTATTGGAAAAACCAAAAGGAGCAGGAGAACATAGTTACACACAAAGTTTTTTGACATTAACAAAAAAGGGTGAAATTCATATTGATGCCTTTTTATGGTGAACTAAAGCAAACAAGAACATCAGCGACCAGATGGATCATTTTTATATACTGATGATAAATACCTTTAACTGGTGCAAGAGGGTAGGATTTAAGCAGAAACGGCACTGTCGTCACAATTTTCCTATAAAACTCTCCCAATAGACGGGTTTCTTGTGTTCAAACGATTCTAGGTGCGCGCGCAACCATGGGGCAAAAGCCTGCTCCGGAGAGAACTGATATCAATGAAGACGCCGTATTGTTTGCAAGTTCTCCCTGACACAATTGCAATAAAATGTCATTTCATTGAAAAATCGCTTTGTCTTTCATTGCATCAAAATCCGAAAAACACTTGCTGAAATACCCATGAATTTCACTCAATTTACCAGGTTGTGACGTTGTTTTAGATGTTTCTAATTTCAGGAGCAGGGTCCTAATGCGCAGTTTACAGCACAACAATAAAAGTTTTTATAAAAAGTTTTTATATTTAATTTTATTTTGTATTTTTATTGCTGCTGTAACAAGAGAATTCCCCAGTTTGGGATCAATAAAGTCTATCTATCTATCTATCTGACTCCACTAGTAAACAAATAAGAAATGTCCCGCTTTCTGCCCCAAGGCTGCACGCGCATACCTGTGATGACGTTGTAAAAATTCATACAAACAGAAAGGAGCTTCAAGTAATTAATTAGAAGAAGAAAAAGGAAAATTCAAATATAAAGACACACTATTTAAACTTTGTGGTTATCTAAATGTAAAATGCAATCTTTTTGCCATTTATAATTGGTCCATGTGTTGTTTTAAAATGATCATTACACATTAATAGTTATTAATCTTTTTACCATTTATAAATTATGATTATTGTGAAGTGTTACCAAATATTTCATTTTTACACTTTCTTTAAGGCCTTTGGTGATAAACAACCTGATGTAAATGTTTTTTACGAGCTGAAGCTTTGCAGGAAAGTGAAACTAAGTGATTCAAACAGGGATTGGGTTTCACCGCCTGAATACCTGCAGCTCAGCACTCATTATGCTATTCCCAGCTCGATGCGGAGGAACTGAGCATCGAACTGAGCAGACCACAGCACTTTTTTCTTTCTGTGAGATGAAACCTTTTATGATTAATGTAAAGAGTTGGAACGACTGTCCGGGGAAAAGAAACCTTCCTTCCTCACACTCAGTGTTTGCCTGTCTGATATTATTTTGTTGTACTTTTAGTCTTTAACAAACAGACGATGTTTCTCTTGCTTTGTATTTTTTGTACTTTATGTGAAATTGTATGAAAGTGTGTCGTGACTACTGACTGCAGCAGGTGGAGATCCAGCATATGAAAAGTAGTTTGTAATTAATCATTTCATTAACTCAACAATTAAACACACCAGGGTAATATGTAGTCCGTAATCAACTAAAATGAGGTATTAAGTGGAGCTCTGTTGGTGCTTTATTGTCGTTGCTACATTTTTCTGGCATGTGTGTCAGACACAAAGGACTTTCCAAATCTAACACACCCTGAAGTTTTATGAATTAAACAACACAACACCATCAGTTTCAAGTCAATATTTGAAGCCCCAGAAATTATACATTGAGTTTAGAAAATAACAAGTTCTTGTCATTAAAGTGGGTCCCTGGGGCAGCAGAAAGCGCTCTGCTTCTCTCTGCAAGAAAGAGCTTAACCCTGTTTTAACCTGTAGTGGTTATACTGGTGAAACTGGGTTGGGGCAGTGTGCTTACATTTCCCGTATTTGGTTGGAGTTGTCTGGTTCAACTCGCCAAGCAACCTTTCTGAAGACTTCCTGGTGTTGACTTTGGTGAGTCCCAGACAGCAGGAATGAACTTCAGACTTTCCCTCACCAAAAAGCACGCGCTATCGTCAGTGGATGTTTTGCATGAGAATGTAACACGAGTGGTTTAAATATTTTTCAGACGGTACCAGGAAGAGTCTTTATAAAACGGATAATAAAGCTTCCTTGACTGAACTGATCTGGTCTTAAAATCTGCAGCTGAACTTGATAGATGGGCCGCTGAATGACAGTGATTGACAGCTATGGTGAAGCCATAGACTCCTCTGTATTTCTCTCCTTCATGTCTTACCTGTAATCTGCAGTTGTTAACTGTTAAGACTTCCTGAAGTGCGGTGGGCCAAACTTGAAGGTAGATAAAATTACAGTGAGAATCTGTTTGCTATTGTCTTTGACACTCAGAAACACTCAGAAACACTCACCGTGTAGTAGCACCAAAAGTTTTATTTTGGTCTTTAAAATGTTTTGAATGTTTGGTCTTTATTATTCTGTCTTATAAAGGGTCAGGTAATTTCAGCGAGCTTGTCTAAGGTCTTTCTCTGAAACATTGATGATACAGAGATAACTGTTTGTTCATTTAAGAGAGTGCGCCCCTCTGCACAGACATACAGCCCTGAAAAGTTGTTCAACTTTTACCTGTAAACTGAGTCCCTGTCTTTTACTGTAGTCCCCTCTAATCTGACATGGATCCATCTCTCTAACAAGCAGGGTTGTGCACAGACCTTTTGACTGGGGTGGCCTGACCTCAACACTGACACTGCTGTGGTGGTGTGGAGTATGAGCCCATGCACCAATAAATAAAACTTATTTTTGTAATCAAAACTTAAGTGAAATTGAAAACCAAAAATTAAAAAATCATTATTATTAATAATAATAATAATAATAATAATAATAATAATAATAATAATAATAATTTTGAAACTATTATAACATTGGTATGGATGTTGGAATACTATCTTAATGGAATGGATTAATGCCAGTGTTTTTCTTTCGAGCACCAGTACCTTGTGTTCATTTATAATGCTTAATTTTGTTCTTAAATCTTTTTGATTAGTATTACTTTTGTTATTATTATTAATTATATTTAGTGTATATATACATCACTGTATATTACAGTTTTTATCTTATGGGGTGAGAGGACTCTGCTTTCATTACAGATTCATAAAGAAACAGCTTTTAGTCTTTCACTCTTTCTATCCAGTAAATAAGCACCTTTCAAATATGTTTTGACTGGCCTCGAAAGGAGACAGGGAGTGTCACTTTTTTTTTATCTGACAAAGGACTTATATGTAATTTCAAGCTGTGAAAAGAATCTGGAATGCTGTTAAAACCTTCACCTCCAGCGTGGTTTTAAGTAAACCTCAAATAAACTTACAGAAAGTTGTGTGTGGTGCAAAGCTGTAGAGCTAATAGGGTATTGAACTTAAATTAAATTTTTGGGTGTCCACGGATTTGTTAAGCTGCCGTTAGATGCTTATCAACTTCTGTCAAATATGTGGTCATTGTCGTCGCTTCGCGGATGAAGTCTTCTCAGAAAGAACCGGTTACTTTTACGTAATCACGGTAACATTTCCATGCTATCTCCTCTTCAACACAGATAAAACAAATAAAAAGGGAGACTTATCTTGTGTGCAGTCCTTAATCATCTTAATCATCCAGTATTTTTAACATGCCAAAGCACAACCCCAACTTTAAAAAAGTGAATTAAATGATTTTTAAATGTGTGTCTATATAGTAAAATGTTGATTAACAAAATGTAAATTAATTGTAATAATAGAGCAATGCTGCATCATCTCTTTTAACAACACTCTCTAGAAATCCGAAATAGAGTGGATCATTTTCCAAAATGTAATGTCGTCTCATTCTTGTCTTACAAAGGATTTCAGCTTACCACTCATGGTCTCTCGTTTATTAACTTTTTTTTTCATCATTTTTCATGTTTTTTTAATGGGGACTACAGGACAGACAAGTACCCAGACTCTTCTACTACAGAGCCATGCTGTTATAATTTATGTGAATGAGGTTTGGCATTGTCTTGCTACAAAGTTTAACTCCAAATTACTCAAATTCTGTGTAAAATTCTGTGAATTCAAATTATTCAACTTTTTGCTCATGTACTCTCTCACAGAGGAGTGAACCTTTTCCCATCTTTACTTCTGAGAACCTCAGCCACTCTGGAGGGCCCTTTTTATCCTCAATTAAGACACTTCTGGAAAAAAAACCCTGCCTTCATCACAGTATCAAGGAAGTTTTGTTTTGTTCACATGAACATATTTCTGAGTGCTTCTATTGTGGTTTTCTGTAGTTCCGTGAGAGTGAAGTCAGGTTGAAACCTTCATATGTGTCTCAAAACAGATCAAATTCAATTTGTCCGCTTTGTTCAATGGAAAAAAACATTGTCTTTTCTTTGTTAGAACCATTGAAAAATAATCTTTATATCTGTTGTCATCTTGGTACGGTCAACTGACCGTGGAAAACTTTCACGCTTTACGATTACCATTGTTGCGTAACAGGAAAGGGCTTGATTTACTGCCATCGCTTCTTACAAAATCCACCTGGACAAACAGGTATTCTACGTGTGGGGCAGACTTTACAATCTGATCAAGCATGTGTCATGCCAGTATAAAAACAGTGAACCTGCATTGAATGGATCAGAGATTCAAGCTTCCCAAAGAGAAACTGCAACACCACTGCACAGAAGGACACCAGATCTGTGAGTATTCATGCTTATGTTTCAACTCAAGTTGATAACTTTTAGATTTCAGCAATCATAACTTGTGATGAATGATAAATGCGTTATAGGAATGTAAGTAGTACCAGTACTTAAACATAATTACACCTGTAGACAATAAGGATAATAAGAGTAGCAGCAGTAGAAATAATGGTAGTTGTAATGATGTGACATTATTAAGAACCATTTATGTAATTGTTTCAAGGTATTTCTTTGTCATCGTGCAAGAAATAAAACCATTCCAGGTAAGAATTCATACACTTTTCTGCAGATTTAACTTATTCAAAAGTTCTGGGTAAAAAAGTCATTAATCGATCTAACTCGTTTTCTTCTGATCCACAGAATGCATTACATTGTGCTTGCCGCACTGCTCTCTGCCTGTGTGCTGGCTGATGGTAAGGACTTTGAAATATTTATTTGATATTTATAAGTTGATTTTTCATATCTTATTTGACACAAAATAAGAAATACAAATGTTGGGAAACAGCCTGAACCCCGTTAACTGAACCCTGATGATAGGAATTATTTGCCATAAGATGTAATTATTGTTGATTTAATTCTATAAGTAAATAAGTTAAATGGAAAAATAAAAAAAAAAACTATTTTCCTTGTGTGTCTTAAATGGTTACACATTGACTTATATTTGCATCTCTTGTGTCCACAGTCCAGCCTCAGTACTACTCCTTCTCCCCATCAGTGGGTTCAGGAAGTGGCACCGCGTACAGTCTGACAGGAGAAGGCAGAATCACTGGTGTCAGAGTGTGGGACGCCAACAACAACTATATCTATGGGTAAATATTCACGTTTTTATTGTCTCAAGAACACATGGACAATATAGGATAATCAAACCCAACCTACTGGAACTGCATTGACATATCATTTCTAAAACAGCCAGTCAACCAAACTTTTCTTATGTTTGTCATTACACGGACAATGTTTTAACCATTACTCTGTGCCGTCCTCCTCTAAGGATTCAATTCCGTTATGGCTACGTCTGGTCCCCTGTTGTTGGTTTCCAAAGCGGCGATTCCAATGAAATTCTCCTACATGATGACGAAGCAATCGTCCAGGTTTCTGGGAAGTATGGCCACTATGTGCAGTCGTTGGTGTTCATCACAAACAAAGGCCGCTCACTGTTTGCAGGCCAGCCCTCCGGGAGATCTTTCAACATGTATCCAGCCAACAGCCGAGCAGAGTTGCGCTTCCTCAGTGGGCGCTACCATGGGGCCATCACCTCCATCGGAGCCCACTGGGGCATGGTCTATCAACCTTCTAACAGCACAGATTTAATGTGAAGAGGAGACAAGAGGATTTTCAGCACGATTGCCTCGGCAGTTGTGTGAACATCAGTGAAATTATGTTTTTTTGTTTGTTTGTTTGTTTTAAATGTAATGAAACCTAATGAAACCTTTTTCTTCACATCACTTAACAGGGTCATGATAAGCTGATGGGAACAAACTTTTTGTACTTTACAGAAAGAATTCAAAATTTGTTCAACCTCATATAAAATGTTAATTTAAATGCTTATCATCACCCACTTACTATGAAACGATTACGTGAGGAGGCCAATATATATGAAAACATGAGCCATATTAATTTCACTGCCTTTTTTTGTATTTTACCATTTTTATGTAATAAATATTTGTCATAAGTACCAAAATTTAGGGTAGAGGAATGTGGAAAAGAAAAGATAGATCACACCATGATCCTGAAGTTTTCTAAGTTTTTTTATATGTTAAAGTGTTCTCTCTTTTCTGCTTTCTATACAAATTAAACAAATAAAGTATACAAGACTTTGTCTTATTTTCATTAAATTAAACAAGAAAAAGCTTATCAGAACAGATATTCAAAACAATTCAAAGAAAGTACATATTTTCATAATGCCGGGAGATTAAAAGAGCAGAGAAAAACATATTAAACAAGGAATTAAACACTAATATTATGCCACATGTTAACATGCTCTTTTGCATTTTAGTTTTGTGTATTAGTCCAAGAAATGTCCAGCCAGAAGGTCTAAAGCATGTGACCTTGCGAAATCCTGCCCAAAAAATGTGCAACAGCTTTTTTGACACAGACCTTCGCAGACGTACTCCATGTTAGCTAGTTCACTAACTGACAGTTACTCAGTAAGTTTACGTGTTGTTAAAAAAATTCAAGTTTTGCCTTAGTCTGAGTGTAACTGGACTTCTAATAACCACTGTAACCATGCTATAAACCTTTTCTTCAAGATCTTATTGCTGTAGTAAAAACTGAAAACCATTCTTTGGCTGTTATCCTTATTCAAATTATTGAATTGTGAAAGTACCACCAGTTATATGATTGTCCGAAAGCTGACAAAAAAAAGTGAGTTGGTGTTGCGCAGCTCCTCAGACATTGCAAGGAACCTTTTTTAAAAGTTGAGATAAACAAAAAGTCTCACAGATGTCACGTCTAGACACCCTAACAGTCGTAGTTTAGTTGAAGGCCATAACTCAGATATTAACATATATGACAGTCATTACTCAAAAAATGGTTGTCTGCTTGGTTGAGTTGCCAGTTTAAGCAGTCAGTGTAAACAGCATAGCTCAACTTTTCTGCCTGTTTTCTAACCACTGATGATCATTCATTTTGTAAGCTAAATAGACATAATTATATCTAACTGTGAGCCGATGAATGGTTTGAAGTGTCCCAGGATGCTGTGCATCTGGAATATCTTCCTAAGTATCTCTGATACTCCAGACAGGTAGGAAATAACAACGATTTACCGATTGGTGTTATTTTCTTTCCTGTCGGTCTCCAGTTTCTTTTAAGACTTGATGAAGGCCCACTTGGGGTACCCACATGTTTTAGGGCTTCCCTGAGGTGTTGGTGATCCTTCTTCTTGCCTCCATCTTAGTCTCCATCTTCTCAGCCCTGTGTTGAAGAGTTCTTATCACGCACAAATTGGGTTCCAGTGGATGTTGAGAATGAAACAGTGGATTAAACAGTAGTAGGTTGGCTTTCTGTAGACTTCTACACTGAGGCTTCTATCCTCAATCTCCCAGACTGCACAATCCAGGAAGGCCAGACTTTCTACTTTTATGTCCTCACAGATGAACTCGACAAAGTCATCTACAGAGTTGATGTGAATGGTCAAGGCTTCCACTTCACTAGATGTAATCTTGACCGTGGTGTCGTCCATGAAACCAAACCAGTGGTTTGGAGGTGGTTCCAGTGAAAGAGGAGAGAGTCTTCCTTTCTACCTCTTCCATGTAAAGAATGACCACCATAGGAGACACTGGTGCGCTCATAGCCCCTCCATGTTTCTGTCTCTGACGTCCCCGTTTTATTGAAAATGGATGGTGTTCAGGCAGAGGTCCACCATGTTACATGTTTGGCCCGGGGAGAGGGAAGCTCTGCATCATAGGCTCTCTTCTACCAGCAGAGGATTCTTGATTGTTTCCACTGCTCCAGTTACAGGTATATAAGTGGGCAAGAAAGTGACATTAATGGAAACCATTGTCTCTTCTAAGTGGGGGATAAGAAGTTCCTCTGCCCGTCGTCACCGCCACCTCTGTTCAAGGATGGTTTCTCAAGTTTGACAAAGAGGGCCTCCTTGACACCCTTTTAAACTAGTAATCCTACCCCTGCCAGTATCTTAACATTGGTGTTCTCAAATGAATGTCCTGTATCCTTCAGATATAAGTGAACAACTGAATCCTGGCCAGAAGAGTTGGTTCTCCTGTGCTGGGACATCTGTTTCTGTAACGGCTGGTTTGTTTTCCCGGTGTAGGAGTCCCTGCATTTTGAAGTGCATGATATGGTGTACACCACGTTGACAATTCCCAATTGCTTCCACTGCTCCAGTTGTCAGGATGTAAGTGAACAAGGAAGTGACTTGATAGGAAACCATGGTTTCTTCCATTTGTAGGACAAGGACAAAACCCCCAGACACAAACAAAGGTACGCTGTGAAATGCACCGACAAATGGAAGCAAAAAGAACCATTACATAGACGCATGGCCAATTCTTCTGGCCATGATTTAGATGTTCACATACATCTGAAGGATACAGGACATACCTTTGAGGACGGCCATGTAAGGATAACCCATACCCTTCAGATTAACTCCAATAATGCCCAAAATAACCCCAAATCAGATGGTCGACCGGCAGGTTGACTTGGATATCTGCCTCCTAATTGGGTAATCTAAAAAATACAACTGTAAATGTTGCTCAACTTAGAGGCAGCAACACAATTAAATTAATAATTTTTTTGCAAATGTATTTGTGTGAAAGTAAACAGGTTGAAGATTATTTTAGCACATTAGTGTGACTGAACTTTTTATATTTTCTTGATAACCTGATTGCGGATTGATTTGACTTCAGACTTCAAGCCTGAAGGTGAATACAATGAAGTGTTCCGTAAATGCAAAGTGGTAAAAAAGATTTTGTTTCCTTGTTTAAAACCACTTCATAAATTGAATCAGTGTGAACCAACAGGAATTTATGCATGTAAATGTGTTAAGGAATGCGTCACATTGGTATATAAGCAACCATCCTACTCTTGACGAGACAGATTTCAGGACAGGGGACACTGAAGCCTTGACAGTTTAAAGCCTGATCTGTGAGTACTCATGCTAACAATTCAGCTTAAGTTATTAAAATTGAGAAGTAATTATTCATAATCTGTGATGAATGATTTAATGATACTTGAGAAAATATGCTTGATAGAAGAATTGATTGTTGCTATTTCTGTTATCATGGATGCAACTTAATAATTCATAACTATCACCTTGTTTAAAGGTATTTCTTTGCAAGAACCAGAAACATTCCAGGTAAGAATTCATACATTTTTCTGCAGATATAACTTTCTAAAATGTTCTGGGTAAAAAAGTAATTCATCGATCTGCCTCGTTTTCTTCTGATCCACAGAATGCAGTACATTGTGCTTGTCGTTTTGCTCTCTGCCTGTGTGCTGGCTGATGGTAAGAAGGATTTATAAAGATTTTGCAGCTACTAATTAAAAAACAGACAATAGACAAACTTCTGCCTTTCTTTTAGTGTATCAATATTGACATATTTACCTATGTTTGCATCTCTTGGGCCCACAGTCCAGCCTTCATACTACTCCATTTCCCCATCAGTGGGTTTAGGAAGTGGCACCACGTACAGTCTGACAGGAGAAGGCAGAATCACTGCTATCAGAGTGTGGGAGTTAAACAATGACATCTATGGGTAAATATCTCACAGATTTACATTTTTTATCAATTTCAATAAAGTTCACAATAATTTTTCCTATCGCTGAATTTACTCTGCAAATTATCCAGTCACTCTTGTTGCTCTGCCAGGGCTGCTGCATTGCCCTGCACCTAACTGTGCTCTCCACATGTTAAAGATTTTACTATTCTTAGTTTTTTAATCTCACTGGTTTTATTTTTGTACATTTTTAATACATTGACGGATTGTGTCCTTTAAGATTTATCCAAACCTTTCCTGTCTACTTTAGATTAACACTGCATATTATGTTTTAATGTTTGAACACTTGTTTCTTGTGTTCTCCTTCTCTAGTTTCCAGTTCCGTTATGGCCGCAGCTGGTCTCCTGTTGCTGGTTACAATGGTAGCAATGTCCAGGAGTTTGAGTTATACGAAGGAGAAACCATCACTCAGATCTCTGGGAAGTATGGCCGCTTTATTCAGTGGCTAGTGTTTGGCACGAGCAAAGGCCGCAAACTGTTCACAGGCCAGCCTTCAGGGAGATCCTTCAACTTGTTTCCAACCAACAGCCAGATGGAGCTGCGCTACGTCAGCGGGCGCTATAGTGGATGTATCACCTCCATCCAAGCCCACTGGGGTGTGTTTTGTGAGTCATCTAACAGCACAGATTTAATTTGAGAACTGGTGGAAGAACCCTTTTATTTCCCAAACAATTGAAAGTTAACAAATCAGAGAAGAAACCTTTTAGTACTCAAATGGTACAAAACTATTTCTGACCCTGATCTTCTTGACTTTTATGTCAGTGCATTTATAACACTAATGAAATGCAGATTTTCATATTAATCATATTGTGTGTTTATTGTAAGATATTTTGATTCTGACCTGTTTCTTTTGCACCCTGTAAAGTTGATATTTGTTTATATAAATGTTTGCAGAAATTTAAAAAAAATGTGATTCTTAAAGTTTTTCACACGTTGAAAGTTTTCTGTCCTTTCTGCCTTCTTTAAAAATAAAACAAGTGAAATACATGAGACTTTTTTGTTTTGTTTTCCATTAAATAAAACAAGGAAACTATTATCAGTACAAAATAACAATAAAAAAAATTGCATAAATGTATTAAAAAGAGGAGAAAACACTAATATTCCATCATATGTTGTTTCTGTTTTTGTATTTGTGCAAGTAATGTCCAGTCAGGAGATCTCTAACAGATTAGATTCGAGATATCATTCAAAAACAAGTATATGATGATGTTAAGTCCTACCCAAAAAACTTTAATCAGACCTTCACAAACATAACCCATGTTAGCCAATTCACTAACTTAAAATCATTCAGTAAATTTTCATGTTTAATAAAAAAAATCATTTTTAGCTTGTTACTATTAATCTTTGCCTCTCTGTATTTTTGCTATGTTTTTGTAAAGTGTCTTTGAGTTCCTGTAAAAGCACTATACAAATGAAATGTATTATTATAATTATTTTTATTATTATTATTATTATTATTATTATTATTTGACTTCCATTTTTACTTCACTGTTAACCTTTTCTTTTTTGCCTCATTGTTGTAGTAAAAACTCTGAAAACCTTTCTTCAGCTATGAACTTTATTTATCTCATTAAACAGCAACTTTAATACTAATTATATCCACCTGGTCGTGCTCCTGCGTGGAAATATTGTTGTCTGAAAGCTGACAAAAAAAAAAAAAAAAGAAGTGCGCAGCTTCTTAGAAATTACAAAATGTATGTGTAAAAGTTGAGGTAAACAAAAAGTCTTTCCAGATGTCATATCAAGACACCCCAACAACCATATTTTAGTTGAAGGCCATAAGTCCGATGATAAAATATATGACTATGATTACTTTGAAAATATGTTTGTCTGCTCGGTTGAGTTGCCAGTTCAAGCAGCCAATGTAAACAGCCTAGCTCAATTTGCTAATTTCTCATTGGTGCCTGTTTTCTAACCATTGCTAGTAATTCAGTTTGCAAGCTAAATAGACAATATTATATCTAAATGTTAGCCAATGAATCCCAATTTATATGTGTAAACATCTAAGCTGTACCCTTTATACTTTTTGACATAGAGCTGTCTGGAGCCACTCATGCAGATCTGAATGGCAGATTAGTGCCACTCATTTGATTAGTAAGCACTGCTGTTGTACAAATGGTCATAGTATTGTATGTATGAATGTATGTATTGTATGAATAATTGATTAATTATATGTCACATTTTCTATTTTCAATACATGGTTTGACTCACACACACACACACACACACACAACTACTCATGTCCGGTTGTGTTTAGAGTGGATGATGGTGAAGAGTGTGGTGGCAATGAGGTCCCTGCCTTCCTGGTTAGTACTCTGGTTAGGGATTGATTCTCTCTATCACACGTACAGCTCAGATGATCTGCACATGCTCCTGTGTTAAGCACGGCAGCCATTGAGCCTGAAGGTGAATAGCAGGGATGCCTTGCTTGAAGGCCAAGTGGTAAATGAGGCTTTGTTTCCTTCATTTAAACCACTTCATAAGTTGTTTTGGAAACATTCTTTACCTCTATTGCCTTCTCTGCATGATTGACAGATCATGACACACCCTTTAATTAAAACACGGTCACTGACACACCAGTAGAGCATCATATTTACTGTAAAGGCTAGTTCCTGAAACTAAATCAACCAACAGAACCTGACATGTGTAAATGTGTCGAGGGATGTGTCACGTTGGTATATAAGCAACCATCCTGCTCACACTGAGGCAGATTTCACAAAGGACAGGAGAACACTGAAGCCTTGACACTTTCAAACCTGATCTGTGAGTACTCATGCGAACATGTTCAGAATTAATTATTAATAACCTGTGATAAATGATTTGAAGATACCTGACAAAATATCCTTGATTGAAGACTTGATTGTTGCTATTTTTGTTATCATGGATGCAACACTTCTAGCACTACTTGAAGCATTGATTAAAAAAAAAAAAACAAGTACTCAAATTCAACTTCAAATAGTTTGAACAACAGCAACAGCAAAAGCAATTCAATAAATTGTAATAATGATGATGATAATGTATAACTATTACATCGTTTAAAGGTATTTCTTGGCTACCGTGGAAGAAATACAAGAGTTCCAGGTAAGAATTCTTTCATTTTTCTGCAGATAAAACTCACTAAAATGTTCTGGGTAAAAAAGTAATTCATCGATCTGCCTCGTTTTCTTCTGATCCACAGAATGCGTCAAATTGTGCTTGTTGCTCTGCTCTCTGCCTGTGTGCTGGCTGATGGTAAGAAGGATTTATAAAGATTTATAAAGTTTCTCCCTTTTTTTCCCCGCTCAATGTTGACATATTGATTGATGTTTGCATTTCCTGTGTCCACAGTCCAGCCTTCGTACTACTCCTTCTCCCCATCAGTGGGTTCAGGAAGTGGCAACACGTACAGCCTGAGAGGAGAAGGCAGGATCACAGCTATCAGAGTGTGGGAGGCCAACAGCAACTATATCTATGGGTAAATATCTAACAGATTTACATTTTTATCAATTTCAATAAAGTTCACAATAATTTTTCCTATCGCTGAATTTACTCTGCAAATTATCCAGTCACTCTTGTTGCTCTGCCAGGGCTGCTGCATTGCCCTGCACCTAACTGTGCTCTCCACATGTCGAAGATTTTGCTATTCTTAATTTTTGAATCTCACTGGTTTTATTTTTGTAAATGTTTAATGCATTGACGGATTGTGTCCTTCAAAATTTACCCAAAACATTCTTGTCTACTTTGAAATAACACTGCGCACTATGGAGTTATGATGTTTGAACACTTTTTTCTTGTGTTCTCCTTCTCAGTATCCAGTTCCGTTATGGTTACATCTGGTCTCCTGTTGTTGGTTACCAAAACGGCTATGTACAGGAGCTTGTGTTATTCGAAGGAGAAACCATCACTCAGATCTCTGGGAAGTATAGCCACTATATTCAGTCGCTAGTGTTCAGCACGAGCAAAGGCCGCAAACTGTTCGCAGGCCAGCCTTCAGGGAGATCCTTCAACTTTTTTCCAACCAACAGCCTGACGGAGCTGCGCTACCTCAGCGGGCGCTTCAATGGAGGTATCACTTCCATCCGAGCCCACTGGGCCGTGTTTTATGAGTACTATAACAGCACAGGGTTAGTAGAGGCATAAGGTTCTCTAGTTTCACTATTTTGGTGTGTGTCTGTCACAAAGATTAATGATAAACAATACAGGGAGACCTGAACCAGCTTTGCCAGAACCCTTTAGAACTGGTGGAAGAACCCTCTTATCGCCAAAACAGTTAAACTTAAGAAAAAATCAAAGAGGAAACTTTTTGGTACACAAATGGTACAAAAGCATTCGCTCATCCTGATCTCCTCGACCTTAATCTAAGGGCATTTATCACACAAAATGCTCGTCACCATATTGATCATATTGATTGTTTATTATAAGACATTTTGATTCTGATCTGTTTCTTTTGCTTTCTGTCAAGTTGAAATCTTCTTACATAAATGTATGTGGAAAATAAAAACACTGTGATTGTGAAAGTCTTATTTTTTACACGTTAAAGTTTCCTGTCCTTTCTGTCTTCTTTACAAATAAAACAAGTCAAAGGCTTTGTTTTGTTTTCTCTTTTTAATATATTTTTCTGCTGTTTTAATCTTTCTGCATGGTCAAATTATGTACTTTCTTTACATAGTTTAGGATATCTGTACTAATTAGATTTTCATTCAGAAAGTTTACATATTTAATAAAAATCCATGTATTCGCTTAGCCTGATTTTAACTGGACTTATAATTACCATTTGACTTTCATTATGCCTTCTTGCTGGAGTTAAAACTCAGAAAACCTTCCTCTTACTGTTTAACTTTTTTATCTCATTGAATAATGAATGTAACACCGTTTGTATCTAAGAGAAATACTGTAGTCTCAAAGCTGACAAAAATAAAAATAAACAGAATAGAGTTTGAGCTGCGCAGTTCCTGAGAAATGACAAGTACTGTGTAAAAGTTGAGGTAAACAAAAAGTCTTTCTAGATGTCACATCAAGACACGCCAACAACCATATTTTAGTTGAAGGCCATAAGTCCGTTGTTAAGATATATGACAATGTTTACTTTGAAAATATGTTTGTCTGCTCGGTTGAGTTGCCAGTTCAAGCAGTCAATGTAAACAGCCTCGCTCAAGTTGCCAGTTTCTCATTGGTGCCTGTTTTCTAACCATTGCTGGTCATTCAGTTTGTAAGCTAAATAGACATAATTATATTCAAATGTTAGCCAATGAATCCTACTTTATAGATGTCAAATCTAAGTTTTAGCTTTTACACTTTTTGAGATAGAGCTGTTTGAAGCTACTTACGCAGATCTGGATGGCATAATGGTGCCATTCACTGCGTCAGTGAGCACTGTTGTTGAACAAATGGTCGTAGCTCAAACAATATTCCCCATACAGCTTCAATGCATATATTATATGAATCAATGAATTGATATAATATGTCAGATACTCAGTTTGTAAGACATAGTTTGACTCACACACATACATCTACCCAAAGCTCACTAGATAGGTAAATGAAGGTTCCTCCTTTAAATATGTATGAAGATGTGTTATTGTCTGTGTGGGCTCAACATTCACAGTAAACACTTGTGGCATGAACATCGAGGTGGTGACATTGTATAAATATCTAGGTGTACACCTGGATAATTAGTTAGATTGGTCTCAGAACATCGACTTCATCTCCAAAAAAAGGCCGTGCTGCTTCTTTTGCCTGAGAAGACTCCGATTATAGACATCAACGGTTCAATGCTGCAGATGTTTCATCAGTCTTTGGAATTTTCCTTTGGGATTCCTTAGGGGATTCCTATCTTATCTTATCCTATCCAGATCTTGGTTATCCAATTCTTCATTGAAGGGCAGGTGGACTTGTTCTAGGGTCTTCCAAAAGGCTTCTTCATTTCTACAGTGACCCGGGGCCAATTTTGGACATTTAAAGCCTCTGTTGGTCCTCCAGCTGTAAAAGGGGTTGGTGGTCACTTGAGATATTCATAGCTTGGTCACCTGAGAGTTGTTAGATAGGCTGTTGACCTGGTTCACCTGGAGGAGTGCCCTGCTAGGTTTCTTAATGTTTGCCATGCTTGCTTTATATTTTCAGCACAAAAGCATTGTTTGATTGTTGTTTCAAACAATCAAAAGATGAATTGTAATTGTTCAAGGATGGTTTCTCAAGTTTGATTTGGTTTCTCCTTGACACCTCTTTTAAACTCCATATCTTCCCCGGCCAGTATCTTAACATTGGTGTTCTTAAATGTAGACCTGTATCTTTCAAGTGTCGGTGAACAACTGAATCCTGGCCAGAAGAGCTGGCTCTCCTGTGCTGGGACATTTGTTCCTGTAATGGCTGGTCTGTTTTCCCGGTGTAGGAGTCCCTGCATTTTGAAGTGCATGATATGTCGTACACCACATTGACAATTCCTAGTTGCTTCCACTGCTCCAATTGTCAGGATGCAAGTAAACAAGGAAGTGACATGGTTTCTTCCATTTGTAGGACAAGGACAAAACCCCCAGACACAAACAAAGGTACGCTGTGAAATGCACCGACAAATGGAAGCAAAAAGAGCTATTACATAGACGCATGGCCTAGTACAGGAGAGCCAACTCTTCTGGCCATGATTTAGATGTTCACATACATCTGAAGGATACAGGACATACCTTTGAGGACGGCAATGTCAGGATAACCCTTACCCTTCAGATTAACTCCAATAATGCCCGAAATCACCCTAGATTTGAATGGTCGACCAGCTGGTTGACTGGCATATCTGCGTACTGGTTAGTAATCTGAGATTGATTCTCTCTATCACATGTACAGCTCAAATGATGAGGACATGCTCCAGTGTTTGGCACAGCGGCCATTGAGCCTGGAGGTGAATAGCACAGATGCATTTCTTGAACGCCAAGTGGTAAATAAGGCTTTGTTTCCTTATTTAAACTTCATAAGTTGTTTCGGAAACATTCTTTACTTCTATTGTGTTCTCTGCATGATTGACAGATTATGACACACCCTTTAATTAAAACACCGTCACTGACGCACAAGGAGGGCATCTTGTTTACCGCAAAGGCTAGTTCCTGAATCTGTGTCAACCAACAGGAACTGGCATATGAAAAAATGTGTTGAGGGATGTGTCGCGTTGGTTTATAAGTAACCATCCTGCTCACACTGAGGCAGATTTCATGAAGGACAGGAGAACACTGAAGCCTTGACACTTTCAAACCTGATCTGTGAGTACTCATGCGAACACTTCAGCTAAAGTTATTCACATTCAGAAGTAATTATTAATAATCTGTGATAAATAATGAAGGCAATGTAATTATACTTGAGAAAATATGGTTGATGGAAGATTTGATTGCTGCTATTTTGATATTTTTTTGCTAAACAAAGCATTCATTCAACTAGAAAAGTACTCAAATAAGACTTCAATTGAATTTGACAGTTTGACTTATTGATATAAAGACTAATTGAATTTTCCATCGGGGATTATTGAAGTTCTTATTCTTCTGTTTAAACAACAACAATAGCAAAAGCAATTCAATAAATTTCAATAATGATGATGATGATAATGTATGACTATTACAACTTTAAAGGTATTTCTTGGCTACCGTGGAGGAAATAAAAGAGTTCCAGGTAAGAATTCATACATTTTTCTGCAGATAAAACTTAATAAAATGTTTTGGGTAAAAAAGTAATTAATTGATCTGCCTCGTTTTCTTCTGATCCACAGAATGCGTTACATTGTGCTTGTCGCTCTGCTCTCTGCCTGTGTGCTGGCTGATGGTAAGAAGGATTTATAAAGATTTTGTAGCAACTTCTTTAAAAAACAGACAAATTTCTTCGTTTCTTTCAGCGTCTCAATAATTATGTATTGACTTGTGTTTTTATCTCTTGTGTCCACAGTCCAGCCTCCCTTCTACTCCTTCTCCCCATCAGTGGGTTCAGGGGGTGGCACCTCGTACAGCCTGAGAGGAGAAGGCAGGATCACAGCTATCAAGGTGTGGGAGCGCTCCAACAGCTACATCAATGGGTAAATATCAAACAGAATTACATGTTTTATCAATTTCAATAAAGTAGACAACTAACAGATTTAAAGAATCTGTATCTAACCCACAGAATACATGAGAGCAATTTAAGACAGGCAACTCATGCTGCACTTACATGTGACATTCTCACAATCATTATCGCTATATTTACGTTGCAAATTCTCCAGTCACTCTTGTTGTCCTGCACCTGAACTGTGCCATGCACATGTTGATGAGGTCCAAGACTTTACTTGCTGTAATTGTTGATCTCACTGGTGTTATTCCAGTAAATTTGACAGTAAATGGACAGTGTTTTTTAAGATTTATCCAAACTTTGCTGTCTACTTTGGATTAACACTGCACATAATTACGTTTTAATGTTTGAACACTTTTTTCTTGTGTTCTCCTTCTCCAGTATCCAGTTCCGTTATGACTACATCTGGTCTCCTGTTGTTGGTCGCCAAAGTGGCGATTTACAGGAGCTTGAGTTGCACGAAGGAGAAACCATCATTCAGATCTCTGGGAAGCATAGCGGATATATTCGGTCGCTAGTGTTCATCACGAGCGAAGGCCGTGCACTGTTTGCAGGCCAGGGAACAGGGATATCCTTCAACATGTATCCCACCAACAGCATGGCAGAGCTGCGCTTCCTCAGCGGCCGCTTCAGTTCATACATCTCTTCCATCGGAGCCCACTGGGGTGTGTTTTATGAGTCCCATAACAGCACAAGGTGGGCAGGTGGTATAGGTTAGTGTGAGGAGTGAAGAGTAAAGAAAAAAGTGGGAGCATAAGGTTTTCTGGCTCTGTGGTTTATTTGTACTTTTTTCACATGTAGATGCCACAAAGATTAATGATAAACAATAAAAAGAGACCTGAATTACCTTTGCTAAAACCCCTTAGAGCTGGTGGAAGAACCCTCTTAATTTCAAAAACAAATAAAAGTTGAAAAATCAGAGAGGTAACTCTTTTTGTACTCAAATGGTACCAAACTATTTCTGACCCTCATCTTCTTGACTTTTATCTAAGGGCATGTATCACACAAACAAAATGCTGGTTACCATATTGATCATATATAATAAGACATTTTGATTCTGACGTGTTTCTTTTGCTTTCTGTGAAGTTTATATTTTAAATGTTTTTTTCTTGTAAAAATGTGTGAGGGCGTCAATGTTGAATAAAAACATATTTTTTTGGTCACTGAAACCTCTCAAGTTATCTGTGTTTTATATTTTTTACAGAACACATTTAAATACACTTATTTATGACACCTGTTAAACTCATACACCTTTTCACTCTGAATATTAGCAGTGAGCAGCTACTTGAACGGATGGAGATTAATTTAGAGGCACCTCTGGGTCTTTATATGGGTCACTTACAGGTGCTTTTTGGATGCTTCAGGCTTGATACATATTTTGTTAATTAAGCTTGCATGAACTCTCCGCTCAGATCATTTCCCATAACAGTGACTCAGTGACACACAACTGGATGAAGCTAAATCATATGAACCTACTCTGCACACGTTCCTTTCTTCAGTTTACTGGAAGAGATGTCTGAAAAGATCCTCAGGCCAAGCTTGAAAAATGAACAAAGAAAACATACAGGTTTATATGAGCAGCCACACCCGTGTGCTGTGGTAGTTAAAAGTATTTTAAAAAGAAAAACCCCAAGGATTTCCTCATACTTGCAAGTGTAAATCAAAAACCTACATACCACATACTCATGTGATGATCGTACTTGAAATACCCGTGCTACAAGGTTGTCATCTTTAATGCTGATGTTGCCTAGCATGCAAATCCTACATCAGCATGTTTCCATCTTTTGTTTACTTTCACTTTTAGGGTGAGGCGGGGTCATGCTGTCCCTCATTTACAACAATAACTGCAAAGTTATGAGGACCATAAATCCTCATGTATCAAGCCTGAAGCATCCACAGAGCACCTGTAAATGACCCATATAAAGACCCTGAAGTGCCTCCACTACTTTGATCAAATCTAATTTCCATCAGTCTAATGCAAGAAGCCTCTCAGTGCAGATATTAATTTATATACATTCATAAGTGTAGTTAAATGTGTTCTGTAAAGAAAATATAAAACGCAGACAACTTGAGAGGTTTCAGTGAAAAAAAATAAAATAAAATAATATATATACATATATATATATATATATATATATATATATATATATATATATATATATATATATATATATATATATATACATATATATAAATATTCTATTTCTATTTTTCTTTAAAGTTTCTTTTAATATCGGAGGCTCTTTTTATATGTGTGGACGAATGTGTATGCATGTTCGTTTGCTCTCTTGCTCTTCAGGCATGCCACCACAGAGGGATTTTGCTGCACCTTGTGTTGTGACAATAAAGCCAATTCTATTCTATTCTATGTATTTATTATTATTTTTTTATTTCAAAGATGGCAGAAAGGAGATACATTTCTAACATGTACATAATTTAGACTTTCAGGTGTTTTTATTTTTCACAAACATTTATATGAAAAAAAAATTGAAATTACAAAACGCAAGAGAAACAAGTCAGAATCAGAATGTCATGAGATAAACAATCCATATGATCAATATGGGAACCAGCATTTCGTTTGGGTGATAAATTACCTTACATATCCACACAATTTCACAACATTTTATTGTGTGACATCCACTCAAGAAAATGGTGAAAAATAAACCAAAGAAATGGGAAACATTTTTCTCTCTTTTTTTTTTTTTTAAACTTTTCCCTCTTCACATTAACTCTGTGCTGTTAGAAGCCTCATAGAACACTGCCCAGTGGGCTTGGAAGGAAGTGATATACCCACTGTAGCGACCGCTGAGGAAGCGCAGCTCTGCCACGCTGTGGGTGGGATACATGTTGAAGGATCTTCCAGCAGGCTGCCCCGCCCACAGTGAGCGCCCTCTGTTGGTTATAAACACCACTGACTGCAAGTAAGAGGTATACTTCCCAGAGACCTGGATGATGGCTTCATTGTCAAACAGTTCCATCTCTTGAGCATCTCCAACTTTTTTTCCAGCAATTAGAGACCATTCGTGACCATAGCGGAGCTGAAAACTAGAGAACAGGAAAAATTCTGTGATGTCAAAATGAAAAATATTGAAATTGAAAATATCAAACACAAGTAACTAAAGTAACTATAACACAAACTTGAAGATTACACTTTGAATTTTTATATCTACTGTATATAAATGTCAGAAATTTCAGACCACTGAAGCTGTAATTATTGGAACTTAATTGTAGCATCAGAACATTTTCGTATTTAACATCCAGGTTCCAACTCTCTCACCGCTCGCAGATTTATTTTACATTAAAGAAATGAGGAGAGATGAGATCATGTCTGAGCAGCTGAAGTTTGGTGAATGCTGGAGATTAAAACAATAGAATTAAATTAAGTCTGTTTGATATTTACCCAAAGATGTAGCTGTTGTAGTGCTCCCACACTCTGATAGCTGTGATCCTGCCTTCTCCTGTCAGGCTGTACGAGGTGCCACTTCCTGAACCCACTGATGGGGAGAAGGAGTAGTACGAAGGCTGGACTGTGGACACAGGAAATGCAAATAGAAGTCAATATGTCAACATTAAGAGGAAAGGAAATTGTTTTTTCTTTAAATTTGTTATGGGTTTTATGTTTCTTCTTTTTACACAGAATTTCATCAGTGTTGTTTCCTTTCAGTTACAGTTACAATTAAACTATGACTCACCATCAGCCAACACACAGGCAGAGAGCAAAGTGACGAGGACGATATAGAACATTCTGTGGATCTGATGATAATTTTCACGACGACTAAAAAATACCTTAAAATAAAGTGAACAGTCATATTAATAACTCATCATTGATCAATTCATCAATTCATTCAGGTTTATCAATGACAACAAATGCAGTATCTTCAAATGTTGAAATGTAAGCATAGATACTCACAGTTCGGTTTTAGAGTGTGCAGTGATGTCTTCAGTTTCTCCAGTGAGCAGCTCAAATCTCTGTTTCCACATGTGCGGGGTCTCTGTTTTTATAGCAGCGTGAACAATACCTGCTGTCACTGTCAGTCAATCATGCTGAGGTGACAACAGAGACAGCCTGGAGTCTTTTTGGTTATTATGTGCAGGGAGGTATAGATCTGTATACCTGCCTTGTTGCATGAAACCAGTTATCATGTATCTAGAATGTCGTCTGTTTCTGTAAATCACCTACTGCATCAGTTTTGCATGACTATCTCGAGCTTGTTTTCCATCATTGATTTACTCTTAATTTCTGAAAGGTAGGCTGGAGATATAGGCAAACAGACTCCACGAATGAACAGACCTCTAAATGAGGACCTTTTGACATTACAGACTATCCTCTTGCTGCATTCAAAGTGAGAAAAGTTTCCCAAATCACCTCTGGCTACAGCATCAACCAGTCTTTAGAGCGAGTTTATTGCGGGCTGTAGTGCCAAAGCAACAAAGATGAAATAGAGGAAGGCGATTTTACAGTAAGGGTGCTGTAAATAAATAAACACGAATGGCTAAATTCTCTGTCCAACTTAAAAGTCTGACCACTCCACAGTAATGGCTACTCTATCTCAGATAAAAGAGCTAAAAGCCCATGATACATTGACCTCATTGTGCTCAGAGTGCAGCAGTGTGCACATCGCTATCAAGTAGAAATAAGAAGAAAATTAAATTTAAAGGGAAAAGCGTCTGTTACAGTTTACAGACACTGAATAAATTATTCATATAAACAGATTTTTTAAGGTTTGTAAATTATTTTAAACCACATATGTGATTACACCAAACTCATGTCAGACAGTTATCTGCTACTACTGCATTTTGACACACAATCACACAATGGAATGAGATGTAGATCACTCCAGTATTAAGAGAGAGTCTCTCAGTTTGACCTGCTTGGTAATTTACCTATTTGTGGTCTGGTTGAGCTGACAGCTTTTAGTGAAAGCCCTTATTGTTAGTACTGATATGGTGTTTTATTGACCTTTTGTAATGACCCCATAACTTTAATGCTCTGAGGTACGTGATCTGTTTATTTTGTAATATTAAAAGCAATTTTAGAAGTTCAAACATTGCCACAGTGCCACAGACTTAACCTGGAGTCTCTCTTAAAATTCTTGCATTAAAGCAACTAAAGGCAGCTTTATAAATGTAAGCAGATAGTTTAATAATGTTTAATCATCATTTATAAAAAGCATTAAGAACATTAATAAATTGTAAAATTTACAATTTTACTATTTTATTGCCATTTATAACTGGTCTGTATGCTGTTTTTAAATGATGATTAAACATTAATAAACTATCTATTTACCATTTATAAATTATGGTTATTGTAAAGTTAAAAGGGTTCTATTGGTATTTTTTAAGACTCTATATTTCCTTTCTAGCTTTACATGATTTTCAGGTCAAAAAAAATATCAAATTTCTCACAGTGGTGTATCAAAATCTCATTATTTCAGCCTCTTTAGCTGTAAAAGTAAACAAAAGATGGAAACATGCTTGTGTAGTGTCTGCAAGGTAGGCAACATCAGCATTAAAGATGACAACCTTGTAGCACGGGTATTACAGGTGCAATCATCACACGAGTTTGTGGTATCTAGGTTTTTGATTAAGGCTTGCAACAGCACAAGGAAGTCCTTGAGTTATTATTATTTTTTAAAATACTTTTGATTATCTCGGCACACAGGTGTGACTGCTCATATAAACATTTGTGTGTTCATTTTTCAAGTATGTTAAGCTTGCCTGAGGACTTTTTCAGACTCCTCTTCCAGTAAACTGAAGAAAGGAATGTGCACAAAGTGTGTTCACTTGATTTAGCTCCATCACGTTGTGTGTCACTCAGTCACTGTTATGGAAAATGAGCTGAGCTGAGAATTCATGCATGTTTCATCAACAGTGGAAATTTTCTGTGAATGTAATGAGTTGGTTTGAATCATACCTGCAAAACTTGAAAACTTCACTACAACTTTGGGGTTCCACAAGGGTCAGTCTTGGATATATATATATTTGTATTCATTTTTTTTTTCTTCCTGTGTTGTTAAAATGTTTTTGTGTGGAAGTTTTCTGTAGTCCCTGTAGTTTTTAATGTGTCACAGTTTTTTTTAGTTGAGGACAAATTCAAAATAGTGATCTCTCTGTCAAAGCATGGGGAAATTGCACCACCTAATGGATTGTTCAAAGTGAAAATACAAACCAAATGAAAGAATAAATCCCACCAAAACAGCATATATTGGTGGCATGCGTAAGTTTGAATTATTTTGATCTAAATCGTATCTAAAAACTGCTACAAGAGATTGTTTCCATGATAAAAAAAAAAGTTACCCGTGGTTAAATTCTAAAAAATAAAAAATTAAAACAATGAGCCAGTCTTTTGAACAGCTCTTTTAAAGGAACGACTCCTTCTGAAGAGCCATATCTGTATGTATATGTCTACACCCATATCTAATGCAGACGGAGCAAAAATGCTTTAAGACACCTGCCGTCTTGGGGATGCTTTACTTCCCTTAAATTAAGGACCTTTTTCAATAAACCTGTCTCGACTTTTTGACTTTGTCAGGAATCTCTATTTCAACAAAATAAAAAATAAAAAATTTAATTGAATAAATTGGATCATGAAGCTTAACAAGGTAACCTACAGATGAGAACCAAATTGGATAATAGAGAATTGTTTTTAGTGTAATTTACAGCTGATTCAAGACACGGGTCAAAACCGACCCTTAACATCGTGGGTGCGTGGTAAAAGGTAACACAAGAAGAAGGTAAAACAACTCTCAACAATTTTATTTTCTTAATTGTATCACTTCTGTTTGCTTTGAATGGATGGTTTTGAGAATGTTGCACGTAACAAGAGCTGCTCCGCATTTTCTGTGCAAGGTATGATGGGATACTTGGCTGCAGGGCTGGTACTTCCACTTTTTACCAACTTTTCTCCTTCCTAACATCAGTTTTCAACCTTTTCTACTGTTGATGAAACATGCATAAACTCTCAGCTCAGATCATTTCCCATTACACTGACTGAGTGACACACAACGTGATGGAGCTAAATCACGTGAACACACTCTGTACACATTCCTTTCTTCAGTTTACTGGAAGAGGAGTCTGAAAAAGTCCTCAGGCCAAGTTTAACATACTTAAAGAAAAAACAAATGTTTATAGAAGCGGTCACACCTGTGTGACGTGGTAGTTATTGCCCATGTTCTTGTACGTAAAAAGAAAAACTCCAGGATGACCTCATTCTGTTGCAAGAACTATTCAAAAACCTACACACCATATTCTCACATGTAAACCTTACCTGTAATACCTGTGCTACAAGGCTGTCATCTTTAATGCTGCTCTTGTCTAGCCTGCAGATGCTACATCAGCATGTTTCCATCTTTTGTTGACTTTAACTTAAATGCAATGATGCTAACATTAGTGGACGCTGCTTTTGCTACAAGAGCTTGAAGAAACGTTGGTGCTAAGGACCTGAAATTAGGCTTGATATTACAAAATAAAGGAATCGAGCATTAAAGCATTAAAGAATCTGGGTCATTACAAGAGTTGATAAAATACCATATAACTACTAAAAACGAGGTCTTTCACTGAAAGCTGTTAGCTCAACCAGAACACAAATAAGGAAGTCAGAAGAACATGCAATCCTGATGCCACAGCAGTAGTGATTTAGAGAAATAAATGACATTCAAGATACACGATAATTGGTTTCATGCAACAAGGCAGGTTTTCTCATCTGCCTCTATCTCCTCTCTGATCCCAATGCAGTAGAGGCAGATAACTGTCTAACATGAGTTTGGTGCTGCTCATGGTTTCTACCTGTTTTCTTGTGCCATTTTTAATCACATATGTGGTTTAAAATTATTTACAAACCTTAAAAAAATCTGTTTATATGAAAAATTTATTCAGTGTCTGTAAACTGTAACAGAAGCTTTTTCCTTTAAATTAAATTTTCTTCTTATTTCTACTTGATAGCGATGTCCAATATGAACACTCTGCTGCACTCTGAGCACAATGAGGTCAACGTATCATGTGCTCTTAGCTCTTTTATCTGAGATAGAGTAGCCATTACTGTGGAGTGGTCAGACTTTTAAGTTGGACAGAGAATTTAGCCATTCGTGTTTATTTATTTACAGCACCCTTACTGTAAAATCACCTTCTTCTATTTCATCTTTGTTACTTTGGCACTACAGCCCACAATAAACTCGCTCTAAAGACTGATTGATGCTGTAGCCAGCGGTGATTTGGGAAACTTTTCTCACTTTGAATGCAACAAGAGGATAGTCTGTAATGTCAAAAGGTCCTCATTTAGAGGTCTGTTCATTCGTGGAGTCTGTTTATTGTGTACTGTAAAGAGCCTATATCTCCAGCCTACCTTTCAGAAATTAAGAGTAAATCAATGATGGAAAACAAGCTCGAGATAGTCATGCAAAACTGATGCAGTAGGTGATTTACAGAAACAGATGACATTCAAGATACATGATAACTGGTTTCATGCAACAAGGCAGGTATACAGATCTATACCTCCCTGCACATAATAACCAAAAAGACTCCAGGGTGTCTCCGTTGTCACCTCAGCATGATTGACTGATAGTGACAGCAGGTATTGTTCACGCTGCTATAAAAACAGAGACCCCGCACATGTGGAAACAGAGATTTGAGCTGCTCACTGGAGAAACTGAAGACATCACTGCACACTCTAAAATCGAACTGTGAGTATCTATGCTTACATTTCAACATTTGAAGATACTGCATTTGTTGTCATTGATAAACCTGAATGAATTGATGAATTGATCAATGATGAGTTATTAATATGACTGTTCACTTTGTTTTAAGTTATTTTTTAGTCGTCGTGAAAATTATCATCAGATCCACAGAATGTTCTGTATCGTCCTCGTCACCCTGCTCTCTGCCTGTGTGTTGGCTGATGGTGAGTCATAGTTTAATTGAATATCTTCAAGCCGAAAAAACACATTTCAGATCTGATTTGACTTTTTAAAATGTTTGAAAAAGTTTGATTGAGAGGCACATATTATTTTGCATAGATGTTAGCAGATCTGAAAAATTATTGCTACATAGGCATGGGCATACATACTGCTAAGTCACCTCTGTAAATAAGAATTCATTGAAGTTGAAAGGAAACAATACTGATGAAATTCTGTCAAAAGAAAACCGTTATTTATAGAAATGACAATTTCCTTTCCTCTTAATGTTGACATATTGACTTCTATTTGCATTTCCTGTGTCCACAGTCCAGCCTTCGTACTACTCCTTCTCCCCATCAGTGGGTTCAGGAAGTGGCACCTCGTACAGCCTGACAGGAGAAGGCAGGATCACAGCTATCAGAGTGTGGGAAGTCTACAGCAAGTACATCTATGGGTAAATATCAAACAGACTTAATTTAATTCTATTGTTTTTATCACCAGCATTCACTAAACTTCAGCTGCTCAGACATGATCTCATCTCTCCTCATTTCTTTAATGTAAAATAAATCTGCGAGCGGTGAGAGAGTTGGAACCTGGATGTTAAATACGAAAATGTTCTGATGCTACAATGAAGTTCCAATAATTACAGCTTCAGTGGTCTGAAATTTCTGACATTTATATACAGTATATATAAAAATTCAAAGTGTAGTCTTCAAGTTTGTGTTATAGTTACTTTAGTTACTTGTGTTTGATACTTTCAGTACTGTTTTACATCACAGAATTTTTCCTGTTCTCTAGTTTTCAGCTCCGCTATGGTCACGAATGGTCTCTAATTGCTGGAAAAAAAGTTGGAGATGCTCAAGAGATGGAACTGTTTGACAATGAAGCCATCATCCAGGTCTCTGGGAAGTATACCTCTTACTTGCAGTCAGTGGTGTTTATAACCAACAGAGGCCGCTCACTGTGGGCGGGGCAGCCTGCTGGAAGATCCTTCAACATGTATCCCACCCACAGCGTGGCGGAGTTGCGCTTCCTCAGCGGTCGCTACACTTCTGTCATTACTTCCTTCCAAGCTCATTGGGGTTTAGTAGCATCCACATGATGGGAAGAAGAGAGAAGAATAAACGACGAATTAACGCTACTTGCTTTGGTAAAAATGTGTATTTCTTCAGCTGTCTTTCTTCAGATTAAAAATATCTTGCACCTATCTTAGGACTTAAATCATTGTCCTTAAAACCCTTTGAAAATTGTTCACCAACTTATCTACTAACTTGTGAAAGAATAAGGCTCTTATACTGAATAAAAATGTGTATTCTGCTCATCAAAACCTTTGAGTGGTTGGTATATTTTGTAGTAGTTCACACATAAACTCAGCATGATACTTTTAAATCAGTTTCCTAACATGGTTGCATGGTTGTTATCATAAGACCCTCAGGAGGCACTGCATCAAAAGCAGACATGACTCTATAGTGGAAATAACTACATGAGATTACATGGAAAGCAAATTTGTGTGCTTTAATAACTTGTTGAGTAAGTCTTAAAAGGCTCCATAATTACAACGTTTCTATGACTACCAGTAAGTTGGGTTTGCAGATTGCTGTATTAGCATACCATAGAGGTTTTACAGGTGATAGTTATGTCACGCACGAAACACGCAGACATACTATCTAAAAAATAAATAAATGTTTTATGCTAGCACAAATAGAGAGCAAAGAGCATAGACAGACACAAAGCTGCAGCTACAGCTTGACATTTCTGCCCTGTGTGCACAAACTTAGATTTGGGCATCACGCGCACAGAAGAACAGGCGACTTTGGTGTTAAGCTTATGAGAAGTGAGGCACTTTTTAGACTGCTAACTAGCTCACAAGACCTCGAATCGTAGTTTTAGAAACCAGTTAATAATGCCAATTAGACTATGTTCATGTTTGATTGAGTCTGGGATTCGAGCCTCATTTCAAGAGTAGATCCAATAGGTCTGTTATAGTGTTTGACTGTATGAAATGCGACCCTGGGAATGTGCAGCTTTGGCCACATTGAGACGGTGCGGTTATAGGAATCATCAACACATTGTGATTTTGTAATTAATTGTTATTAAATGTGAGGGCATTATCTTCTTTTTTCTTGTAGCAGCGGCCTCATCTGGAAACGCAGTGAGGTAAATCTTGAATCTTGAAGCAAATGTCCATACAAATGAAACCCACAGAAGCCAGGTCAAGAAAAAAAGAAGGACACGTGCATACCCATGCTCACAGACTACGAATCTAAAAACCATGAAATGCAAATATGTCTGTGTGCTGTACCAAACCACTTGGACCACTTGGTGGAGACCAAGGGTATGTGTTCCCTGGCCCTTTAAGAAGGCTTTCTTCCAAAAATGGTTTAAAGAGGCCTTTTTATTCACGAAATCATAACTTTTGGGATGAACGTGAAGTAGTCTGAAAAAATGACCACGATTCTTAACATTTCACTTAGAAACTAACTGCCGTGTCTCTCTGAGACTCTTTCAAACTGCACAAAGGTGTTTGGTCTGCTTTGCTTTAGCCTATTTCTTTATTTTTCTGTAAAAAAACAAAAAAACAAAACAAATTAGTCAAGAGAGCTTTGTTTTGTAGGAGAGCTGTCGGCTCTGTAAATCCAACAGAACACTACAGTACATTATCACATTTCTGAATCTCCTAACCCTAACCCTAAACCTAATCCGAATCCTAACCCTAACCCGACAGAAGATGACGTTTCAAAGCCATTAGGAATAACCAATCGGAGCCCAGCAATTCTAGCAAATCAGGGACCTGCAATTCTACAAAAAAAAAAAAAAAAAAAAAAAAAACCTGGAGCCTCCTGCAAGGCGAGCTAGCAGGAGGCTAGCTGGTTTCTGAAATCGATACGTGGTTTAAATAAAGTTTTTATTTGCACTTGCACAGTACGGATCGGGTTAGTAGCAATACATAAACATTGTACATGTAGATGCCTCATTACGTGCTGGAGCGTAATCCAGCGTCACTGCCATATTGGATGGGCCTCTCCACTCCAGGCTCGCTCAAGAGCCAAACGGGGTCAATGGAGAATGAGCAACTATGCCCGTATTTTTGCTCTCTGTGGTTAAAAAAACCATTGCAGTATTGAAACCAGATCACGTAGGATTACATTTCACAAATAAGATTGGAAAATAATTTTGGTTATTTTTGATGTGTGACCTTGTCCCGTATTATTGCTATATCCCTGCCATTTGTAATAAACCAAACAGTGTGAAAATCCGGCAAAGATTCAGAGAGTTATTAATATATTTGGGCATTCCTACCTACCTTAATGCACTGGAGGCGCATGGGGAACCCATCCAAGACGGCGGCCGCGCTGATACCTGAGCTCCAATAAGCAACGTCAGGCTTTGAGGTGTCAACGTAGATTATGGTTGTGTCCGAAATTAATCACTCAATCCCTAACCCCTAACCCCCATATGGGATTTCACTATATAGCTGCCTATGTAGTGATCTTAGTCACCGGAGGTTTTGGGGTTTTGGACACTACATGGCAAGACGCAATGCATGACGAGAAGCCCACCACCGGTGAGTGACCATCAGATAGTCACTTTATTTTGCCCATATGAGCCACTGGAATTGATTACTCAGGTTTCAGACACCCCTCAAAATGGCGCTAACCCCCATATAGTCGCCTATATAGGGGTTAGGGATCCATTTCGGACACAGCCGAAGAGAGGAAGCGACGTACGTTTCGCACATGCGCAGTACAAATCGGGTTTCCGGGACGGATCGGGTGGCGCAGGCTTCAAATCCGTTTACTGGCGGAAGGCGGAAGCAAGTTGTCAGTTTATGGTTTTGAACCTTGAGACTAATGCTTTTCCTTTTCTAATGAAACATGTTAAAGTTAATCGAAGTGGTGTCGTTTGAGCACTAAAGATGAAGTAATGGAGTGTGTGGGATAACCGGAGAAACGGGCTGCTGTTAGGTTTCTGCCACATTAATTAAGCCTCCCGCGTCTGCGTTCATACTCCACAGAGCGCTGAGCCTACACTTCCCAGGATCCTTTGAGGCGAGGCAGCAGCTGTGCGCTCCGGCTTGCCCGCAGCAAAGTGATGATAACACGCCAAACAAGGTACAATGAGAGCGCGTTGAGTTTTCCACATTTCGCCTGCTCTTTCTGCGCGAGTGATGCCCAAATCTGCGGAGTAGCACGATGGCTGTCGAAGGTAAGACGCTTCCTTCTTCCTCTCAAACCTGTTCGCGGTGGCATTTCCGTTCACGTCTCGTGGTAAAAGGTAACAGAGCGTTTAGTGACATGATGTAAGGAGGTGTTTGTTTGTTTGTTTCACGGCTCAACCCAGACACAGCCGGGTCAGCTGTGAGAGTCTGTGATTGGGTGATGTTACAGCCTTTGCTCTCTCTCTCTTTCTCTCTCTGCATTACGTGCTCTGCCCTGGTCATCTTCTGTTAAGACACTTGACAATTCAAATGACACACACACACACACCGCTGCCTCGGTAGCCTACATGCTCATAAAACCATAAAGATTCGTGTTAACGCGCAAGCCTCTTTTCTGTGTGTTTGTTGTGGCGGTGCGCGCGCCTGGTCGTGAGCTCTGCGCTTGGAGACGAGACTGGTTAACAGGTCTGCGACTTCTTTTGCATAATCATCCCCGGTATGCCGCTCTTTGTGTTCCCTGGAGGTTACTTTCGCCTTCAGGTGCTGAGATTTGCATCAGAGTCTCTCTCATGAGGAGAGTGATTTAGTCTTTAAAGAGATTTTTTCCCACGGATTGTTGTTTTTGTAGCGCAACAGTGCGCCGTTTGTGCGCTTATCCTGATCCACAAGAACCAGTCAGGTTTGGGCTGCTCTTCTGGCAGCAGGTGGACTGACATGTGGATGGAGGAGTCTCCCTGTGGTTGTCAATAAAACAGTCAGTAAAGCAGCCCCCCCCTCCTCTGGACGTGACTCGGGATGTTCGGCCAGTCTCCTCACCTTATCGGGGGCATCTTGTGGATCCAGAATCCAATGAGAGGTATGTCAGAGGAGGAAGAGAGGGTGTCACATCATGCTTGCAGAGGGACTAGCTTTCTCTCTCCAGTTCAGGTATGAGTGGTATGTGGCTGTGGCACTCCTGCATTCCTACCTGAGACTAGCTCATGTATCTCTAATGGGTTTTAAAGGACGTGTGTCTACATTACCCAGCTCTTTTCGACCCCTCCTGCTCCTTTTCCTACATTAAGAGAAGTAGATTTTTATTGCAGAGGGCGTCAAAATGTCTTTTTAGATAATTTGTCATTGATAGTGAAAGACTGGGGTGCATGCAGAGCAGGTTTTGTTGCTCTGCAGCATGACTTTCCTTGTTTTCCCATGTTAACGAGACAAAAATAGACTCATGTGAAACGGCAATCTTCTGTTTTGCAAAATACAGATTTCACTGCACGATTTGCACGTAGAACAGAGGCACAGACACTTTAAATGCAGCACTCATTCTTCTCTCACCAGGCTATAAATCACAGCAAAGAAAGATAAGAAAAATTGGAAGTCTTGCAAGCTTCCCCGGAGCTCTCAAGCCCTCATTCCAACAAAAAAACAGCTCTATGTTTGCTCTTTTTTTCAAGCTCAAGGACTGTCTCGTACAAGTTGTCCTCTCCTCGCTTTTATGTTACATCTCTATGTAGCTGTCAGGTGACCTACAGGTGTACAGATGTAAAACCAGCTGTCTGAGAGCTTCAAATGCACCTTAAATGATACAGCTATAACGCTGCCAGCCTCCCATCATATCTGCCTGTTTAGTTTCATTCATGCGTCTCTTGAGATTTGTTCCACTAGGCAGTGAATTTGGAGGTTGCCTGCAGATGCACACTTTGTTCCAAAGCTGAATTGGTTCTCTACTATTCAGTTTTTCTCTATTTTTCATTCCTTTAAAAAACAGTAGGTTAGTATTGTGTCTTATTGCCAGATAACATGGCTAAAAATGTGTTTTTTAATCATCTCTGCAGCCATTGGAATACATAATTAAAGACAAACAGTTTTATTGAGCAAATTACAGTTTGCATATTCATGTCTTACAGAATTATTGGGGGATGGGGGGGGGGGGGGGTATGGTGAAGTAAGAATCA